AAAAAGGTCATGGAGTGGTACGCCGCCAACAACGTGCAGGTGGTTCCCAAGGACAAGAACCCTCCCAACACGCCAAAGCTCCGCCCAATTGAGAAATACTGGGCTATTGTCAAGCGGAACCAAAAGAAGACCAAAAAAACTGCTAAGGGCGAGCAGCAGTTCAAGGCAAACTGGCTTTCTGCGGCGAAGAAGGTGGACAAGGTGGCTGTACAAAATCTGATGGCAGGGGTCAAGCGTAAGGCCCGGCAATTCGGATTTGGAAAAGCGGAAGCCTAACTGAATATTTTTCCTGAATTTTATACTAATTGAACTTGAAAAAGAAATTTAATTTGATTTTTTAAATAAACGATTTCACCGATTTACACGCGTTTTCCCTTGACCAAATTTTGACCGTATCACCCTTTAGCGACAGTCATGGTTCTGTTACTCTTGTTTAGATTAGAACCAATGTTTACTCCCCAGCATTATTCCTGAAAGTATACTAGCTGAAAATTTCAGAAGAGACGTGAGTGTCACTAGTATCCAATCTACGAAGTATATCTTAACAACACTAAATATCAGCTACCAGAAAATATACAACTACAAAACTGCTTCCCCATGTTTGAAGCAAAGTATCAAATATGGAGAAGAAAATTTCATGCATCAAATCGCAATAGTGTCCACGATTTACTTCCTAGAAAATTTGAAGTGGCAGAGCAAGTTAGCCATTCTGCCGTTGATTTGTGGACGGTGTATGGTATCACCAGCCAACCTCCGGTTTAATACATAACCCCAAAATATGATGGTAAAGATTGCTGAAAGATTAGAGTGTGGAGATTACTATGGATGCAGTTTAAATTTCACAAATGTCACTCTATCTTTTATTCTAGCTGTCCATATGCTTTTAAAATGTAATATGTGATTGCTATGTGTTCAAATCAAAAAAAAATGTGAGAAAGAGATATAAATATGAAAAAAATAAAATAAAGTATGGTAAGCGCTTTTCTAGTTACGGTACGTTAGAAGCGTTAGAATCTTAAAGTTGCTTATGGAGATTCTATAATCAACTATAAGAACCTAACACTTCATCAATGAACTATCTAAAACACTGCCCACAGGTTGCCGATTGTTCTATGCTGATGGTGTCAACATTTACATGGTGGTGAATATTCTTCAGGACTGGCTCGTATTACAACAGTTAATCGATCGTTTCGCTGAATGGTGTAACAAACATGCTTACATTGAGCATTCATAAGTGCAACGTCATATAGGTCAACAGGAAACTGAAGCCGTTTATACATAACTATAACATCGCCGACCAGCCTCTTGAGCGTGTTCACCAAGTATGGGATTTGGGCGTTGTCCTTGACTAAGCGTTCACCTTTCGATTACATTACAACGACATTATCTCTAGAGCCAATCGGCAGTTCGTGAGATATGCCCTTCGTGACCTTCCGTGGCGAGATCCAATCCAGCTACCACATTACGAGGACCGTTGTTGACTGCTGGGTATTGAAACTCTGGAGAAAATAAGAAACACTGCTCAAGCAGTTTGTGTGGAAAAGATCCTGTTGGGGAATACGGATTCATCGAAGATCCTCGCGCAGCTGAATATTTACGCACCGGAACGAATCTTTCGCCACCGTGATTTTGTATGCTCGAGGTTCGCAACGCTTTGTATGGTCAGCATGATCCCATACGATTCATGTCAGCCAGGTTCAACCAGATGTACTTGCTGTTCGACTTCAACGCTTCTGCTGAGTACATTTAAGCGTAGACTCTCTGAAAGGCGGAATGACATCAATTGAACTACGATGAAACGCCTCAATGATTCAATTAAATTGGTGAGTAACTGTCCAATTTCTATAACATGTAAAGATTGTGCTACCTGCTCTTTTTCCCCCGTTAACTTCATCTTTCTGACGAGGGCTTGGCCTGGCACCTGACGAGCGCATGCCTAAGGATGATAATTTTATGTTATGGACCACGATTTTAATTTATTATGTTGTGATTCTATTTCCGTTTATTTTTTGTATGATTCGCTTTTTAATTATTGTATATGTTTTGTGTAAGGATATGGGGTTTTTGCGCCTGATAGTGTTCAAGATAATCATTTTGCCTAAATGAAAATGATTTTTCTGTTTTTTAGTATAGCTTCTGATTTTGACAATGCTGGATAGGAAACTAAAGCGCTCATTTGATCACAACAATGACAGGCTTGTTAATCTATGGCATGGTTTTTTTTTCTTCCTTTAATTGTTTTCCGTCGATCTTGTTTTCCAATGCTACCGACGCCATGTAGGTAGCTCCCACCCCTGGACCATACATATCGACTCATCAACTCATGAACCGGGGACCAACGGCTTTACTTCCCTTCCAAAGGAAGGCGTGATCAGAGATCATCCCGCCGGTGCCGACTGGGATTGAACCCAGGCCTGCTGGGGTGAGAGATAATCACGCTTACCTATGAAAGAAACGTATCTTAGTCCTTATTACTTTGTATGCCTTGTTAATAGTGACAATACTCGGATTGCTCCACCGAGGATGATTGAAACACGGAAAAATGAGATAGTTAGTCTTGATATTGTGGTTCCTTGTGATGAAAACAAGAATGAAAACTGCATCAAAACCGATTACTTCACCATTTCTCAATAGTGATGGAGTAACATGACATATACTAAAACAAGGACACGGAATATACTACAAATTACTGGTCGCAGTGGTTTTATACTCAAACAGACGAGAAACATATCGATTATCAAGTACTTATCAGTAGGTCACGTCACGATTTCGAACTTTTCCGACCACTATCAGGACATAACAAGATAGGAGAATAATTCTCAGTAGTACCATTCTCATCAAGCAAAGTGCGTTTCAATAGCCCTGAAAACCGTTGAAGGTACCACACAAATATGTGGCCTGAAAGGGAAAACGATTCACACGAAAGAAACCCCAAAACTGATTTATCACTCTGAGAGTCTATTTTTTCCTATTTCCACGTCCCCCATTCACCCGAAATTCAATTGAGTTAACCAGCTGCCTCCAGATTGACTCGCTCTGAATCAAGGAAGCAGCCAGCGAAAAATTCCACCCTCAAACAGAGCAGCAGAATAAACAAGCCCATTTACGAGCATATTTCACGTATTAAATCACGGAAAGACGACTTCATACGGGCGGGAAAACTTCCAGAAGGAGAGCATCATCAATTTCGATTCCAATCATCTTCCGCCGCAGAAGGTTAGTGGTGGAGGAAAACCGATTCCAACCTCGTTTTGGCTTCCTTGGCCTCGGATCCGTGAGGTGGATACGGAGAAAATGTGAAATTTATCAACTTTTATGTATTATGCGTGCCAACAACCGAACGATTCGCATTCATTCATTTTTTCGCAGTCACACTCGACAACTAAAAAAAAAAATGACACACAAAAGGAAACGAAGCCTCCTGTAGAGTATGACTGTATTGCTTCAACCATCCATCATTGCTGCTTCGCCATATTTCCCAGCGAGCATTGATAATTTGTCAGATTCCTTACATTTTCCAGGTGGATTTCCCTTCCTCCCGAGGGAAAATAATGGACAAGCAAATCAACCTGATCTACATTTCCATGACTAGTCGCTATTGAGGAAAATCGCTCTTTTCCCAAAACCGCTGGAGTGCTCTCGCCTGCAGAGGCAGTTTCTGTATTAAAGCTAGACTCGAGGCACTTTTTCTTTCGATTGGTTGCCCCGCCGGTGCGGCGCACACACGTGGTATTTTCCTACAACGTTCCACTCGCACACATGCACACATCCGTGCACGTGGCAGAACGAAACAACAGTGGAAAAACGGTACGTACGCCGTGTTCGGCAAGGCTATATTGATAGGTTCGATTCCGGTCTTTATTGAATCGGAAGTGGTCTCACACTCTCGCTCTTCAACGGTATTTTTTTTAACGTGGTGAGAAGAGCACTGGTTGCTTCGTTTTTTTTTTCATTCGAAAAAAAAGGAAGCACTCAGAAGGTCGAGGGTTCACGATACATCTCGCTGGGGAAAGGTAGAAGTTTTTGAATTTTTTATGGGTTCTCAAATCGTTTTTCAATTTTTTTTTCTTCGTTCTTTCGTTTATTGAATGATATTTTATTATCGCATGGAGGAAGCGCTATAAATACAAGATGAGATCCCGATGGAGTTTAACGTGTCGAAATGATGTGTTAAAAGAGGCGCTTGGATGATCCCATTTCAGCTGATGGGGGATTAAATGAAAAGTTTGTACCTGATTACAATAATTTGATTATCATATTCCGAGTTATGATGATCAAAATAATTTGCATAAACGTAGCTGTCCAAGCCTGATTCAAAATCCAGCGCCTAACCTCAATTATTCACTGATCTTATTGCAACCCGTCATCCAAAGAAACAATGGAATACAATGTCGCAAGGCGTGTTTTGTGGTGATTTCCCACCGGTCAATCCTTTTCCATTTTCTATTGCGATTATTGGTCAGTGAGAGGCGTCAATAGTCAAAAAAATTACTAAAGGTCACGCCATCAGCGCATGTTTGCTCACTGCGGAATGTGGTGCACTTTTCACTGTCAAGACTCGGTCAGTGCAAAGGACTTTCGACTCCTAGCCACAGCAAACAATGGAACGCAAGAAAACCGACGATAATGTTCCACCCACCACTATAAACATACGCTTTTTATGAATTATAGTCGACCACAGATTTCGCTTCCCTCCTGTTCTGAATAGCGGCAGCGAAGGGACGGTACATTTGAGCATTCGTAATAAAATGTGATAAAAATACAAAAGCAAGGAGAGCAACAATAATAAAAAAAGTAGGAAGGAAGTAACTACTTCGCAGTGTGTTTTGAGGCCAATTTTCGAGGGTTTTTATCGAATTGAAGATGGGAGTGAATTTTGACGTTCAGTCCGGAAGCTCCGGAACGGCGTGACTTTTCGCAGTTTCAGGCACTCCGGATGCGGTCACGAAAAGAAAAGGGTGTGAAGGTTTTTCCCTCCTGCAATAACAACGAAAACTCACCCATAGGCCGCCAGAGTGGGATCGTACGGGTAGTATCCGGTCGTAGGTTGCAGACCGGCGGATGTCCACGCGGTCATATCACTAGTTGGTCCACTTTCCTTTAAAGCATACGGGTTGCTCTGCAAATAAATTGGAGAAAAAGAAGAGAGAAATATTTAATTGAAATTGAAACCGCAAAATGAAATATTCTCATCTTGATAGCGTTAGTGTGTACCATTGTGTTTACGAATTAAGTCGGACAAAACAAAACAATTAACACTTTTATTTTTTATTGTTTCTCTTGTTAGCTCTCGGGCTCGGTATGCCTCATGGAACCTGTCTGACCTGAGTGATTTTCTCGAACTGCCAGTCTACCTGCCCGCCTGCCCGTCTATCCGTCTATTGCGATTCAGCAAGTGCTGTGTGGATAGTTTTTTTTTCGACCACATTTTCCCTCTCAATGCACTTCAGCAATATTAACTTTTTTATGATCAACAAATACTTTTGTGTGTTTGTTTTTCCATCTGGCTCCACCTTCATGCCTCTCATCCTGCTGCCTCAACACGATCGTGGACTGAAATGTTTACACTGGCAGTTCGTCATATCGCGAAAGCGCCACAGGTAATTTAAATTTGCTGCTAGCTCTTGAGACGAGACTTGGCACTTTTCTTGCCACTGTTTCGTGTGATTCACCTTACCATCATCATCGTCAACGTCGTCAGGCCTCGGTTCACAACGCTCTGCCGAGGGGCTACCAGGTGGTAGTTGTTTTTATATCCATACAAAGTGTATCTTTGCCACAACACAACAATTGATTCTGAAGTTCAATATATATCTTCAGTCCATAGAAAAACTAGAATCCTGTGACAGGTTGTATGACCACCTCAGGATTAAAAGTAAACTGCGGTTGACAGTTGTAACGCATTTTATTCACTGAATGAGTCGATTTATATACTTCTCTCTTTTTTCCCTAATGGAAATTTTACTTAGTTTTCCTTTAAACCCGAGCTTACAGAGTCAATGAGTAAACTCGGATTTACTACGTAAAGTTTACTTATTTTCATTGGATTTGTATTTTAATATATGTAAGCGTTAAATAAAGAAAAATATCGTAAAAACTGCGATTTACAAGAGTATGATCACTGTTAAACACCTAACCTTAATAAAAGATTGTATCAAATAGTGAATAAAAATAAGTGAGGCATTGTAAATATATCATGATAAAACAAATTTTCACTCAATCCCCGATTATATTAGGGCCTGTTCATATACCACATACCGCATAGATGCATAGATTAGGAGAGGAGGGTTGTTGACTAGGGTGCTACATGTTGAGAAAAAAAATAAGTCTAAAAATGTAACCTAATAGATCACTCTCCAGTTTGATTCATAGCCCTAAAATAATAGCGTGTCTATAAAATGATAAAGATTCATGAAGGTTTAGAGATCACGCAAATGGTTTGAAGTTTGTTTTAAGATTATGGCGATTTGCTATGGATGATTTTTTAATATTACTCTTTCAGAGGTTCATGTTATCAGAATGCTGTCAAAACAAATTTCCAAAAAAATGATAAAAAATAGACCCATATATATCATTTATATGCACACTTATCATTGTCAACAACTCAACAGCTTGAACCCAGAAGAAGAGCCTTAATTTTTCTCGATCCAGCAAGGTTTTGAGAAAATATGTAGTTCAAAATACCGATTTTGTTCCACCGAACTCAATCGATTCTAAATCGGATCCATCATTCTTTCAAGATTGGTGCTTATTTGGATGTGAACTCATACTGCAGTGGCCATTTGAAGTTTATATGGGAATTACTATAAGAAAAATGTCATAATGATTACGGGTATGCTTGCAATCATTTCTTATGTGAACAAATTAGCTGAAGACCTCTTTTAAATCATATATAGCACAATAGGGGAACCTTTTCCTTCTTGGCATTAAGCCGAGAAAGTTTATTAGAATTTTGCCTGGATGATGGATCATTCCAATCATCCGTGAGTACATCAAATTGATTGCTCAAGTGAATTTCATCAGAAGGGGGATCAAGAGAGTGCCCTTTTCTTTTGCGCTTAGGTGCCATAGTGGCAGAAAAAAGTTTCTCCAAATCGGTTTCCAAGCATATTACTATAAGAATTTGAAGGAACGAAGAGGAATTTTCCAAGTCGATGTCCATGCAGAAGTACTTCGGGTAAGGTCCAAACAAGGATCAAAGAGGAATAAGAATGAAATAAAATAGAATATTTACAGGTTATTGTTATCACTGAAAACTGCAGTTTAAAATTGTTGTAGCTTTCGGTAGTAGTAACACATCCTTCAACAAGACACAAATAGTAATAGTAAATATACATAATCAAAATCTTGGTACAATTTCTGATCGAAGAGATCCTGTTTTATCAAATGTGGATGCAATATGAAATGTTTAAAGTAAAAAGTTGGGTACGCAAGCTTAATCAACAGCTTAAACTAGTTTTAAAAAATTCCAAACTATGCAGCATGTTTTTTTTTATTATATTTTCTGTTTGTGATTTCTTAGTGAAATATCCTGGCAGTATTTACAGTTGACTGATTCAGTAAGCATGTTGCTATATTTTTAATAACCAAAATGCTAATGAAAAATAGTCAAATTAATTAGAAACGTTTTCCACGCATTAATCATAAGATCAAAGACCACTAGGTCTAATGGGTAATTTGGCCGCTATCAATTAAACCAAATTTAAAAATAGGCCGAATTTCGAAAAGTAAAGGACTTAATTTAGTATTTCTTGGAAAATGCAACTTTGAGAATTTTTCAAGACCTAAAAGGGATGTTGAAAACATGTCAAAATATTGAACTTAAATTTTTATTTGAAGATATTATAGTTCTTGAACATATTTGGTAATAATGTCCTTATTTTTGTTCTAGACCTTATTATAAGAACTATAAATTATGATCCCAAACTTAATCCTGGTTATAAGAACACCTACTTGAAAAACTTTTCTAAATTCGGCCCTTAAGGACTCTATATTTAAGATCATGGGCGTTAGAAAAATCATAAGAACTGAAGCTTGGATAGAGTTTCGAGATCACGTATGTATGTATATTTTCTGCAGAGGAATTTTTCAACGCAGATTTTCCTTCATGTATTCATGTCTAGATAAAGATTTCTCATAGTAAATGTTCTTCTTCTTTGAAACATGAGTGGATCTTTCTGGACATATTGCAATGATTATTGACATCTTGAATGAATTGCCTACTTCGTTTGCTGCTAATTATTTTTTTTTAATCTGGAACAATACAGACAAATGACTGAATGAACAATATGCTAATATAAATCGATAAAAAAATGCTAACTTTGGAATTCATGCATGGCCCCAATGTAACGTACACTAAGACCGATATTGAAGACATTAACCCTATCTAATTAATATATTAAAAGAATACAAAAGCAACTACAGTTGACACACCCTTCGTTGGCAAGCAATGCTAAAATTCTCTCCCTCTCGTTCCATTTTAATCAGGTAATTATGAAAGCAAGCTGAAGAAAATGGATACAAAACCCAAGGAAACACAAAAGACGTGTAGTGTGGCTGACGATCAAGACGCGATGATGGAAGAATAAACTTGAACTTAACCCAAGATATAGAGTGAAGTGAACGATACTCAACTACAAATGTATTTTAATGTGCACATAAAGATAAAAATACAACACTTAATTATAACATTTTATTTTAACAAAATATGTTTCGCGCATAAAATTATACACCAAAAATTATCAGCTTGGCTCCGGCCGGTTTGTGGTGAATAGACGCGAGCTTGTGAGCCTGTGGACGCAGGTGAAGCAAAGGGTAGAAGAACACTTGTACTTTTTGTAAATTCAAATTTGGTGGAAATTTCTACATTATCGTTTTCCGATATAGGTACCTGTTCGCCGAAAGCGGTAAGAGCGTGCTGCACGCGCATTGTTGTAGGATTAGTTTGCTTCACTACTGTCGTAGAAGTAAACGGCTGCTCAGCATGCTGTGAAAAACTGTGAACGTTAAACAGTCAACGCAACGCTTCAAAAAACAGGAATAATCGTATAGCCGAAGACCTATTGTTCGGGAGCACGCACAAACAAAGTAGCCCACCGTTGCTTGCCAATGATCGGTCGCTCGCTCGCTCGCTGCTCTGCTCGCTTATCTCATTAGCCATTTCCATGCTAATGATGCTCAAGTGACACAGTGGTAATTTTAATTTCAATATCACACCCTGTGACAACGTCGTGGCCGCTTGAACCAATGTAAAAATTTCAATTTACAAATTTCTAATCAGCATTCAATTAGTCCTACTGCATGCGAATGGGTGGCGTTTACGTCGGTTACGGCTCAGTTAGCTTTTTATGTTTCAATTAAAGCTCACCAGGTAACGAGGTGATAGAGGTATCCTGTAACAAGCTATAAAAGCGATTTGTAATAAAAAAGGGTAGTTAAAAGAATGGCGTCACAGAGAGCAAAACTCGTCAGTTGGTCTTAACAAGCAAAAGGTTTCATTGGACAAGTGAGTCAGAGCGAGAGAGCGAAATCAGGCGGCCAAGAATATGGAAACTCGCAGTTTTATTTATTTCCTTTTTATTATGTATCACACATTATTATGATTATTAGCAATACCATTTGCTGCGTCTTCGCCTTCGGACGGACACAGTAGCAAAAGGCAATCCATTTATCTCTGGAGAGTAGCAAAACGTGAGAGATATAAATTACCATTCTTGAGCTGATGAGAACAGCCGCACATCTGCGCATCCATCGTGACCACTTTGGAAAACCGGAAAGCATCAACTCTAACTATATCGTGGTCACTTAAGTCATCGCAGCTTTTGCTCTGTTTCGTTTCGATGTTAACACATATTGTTTTGTTTTTTTTGTATTCTCCTCACTTTGAGAATCTAGAGGAATGTAGCCCAGTTCCATATGTGATGTGTTATTAATGTATGCATGATACGAGAAAGTGGAGCCCACACATTGGATGGTTTCGTGACAAATGATGGTCAAAATGATCACAGCAGCAAAGACTCGGTCTCTAAGACTGCAGTGCATCTCCAAGCGACGAACTTCGGTGGATATGTTTTTTACCTCGCGACGATTGAGCTTTTCTAACAGTACTGCTCGGAACTT